TAACCAGAGTAAAAGAGCTGGAGGCATGCCTCAATCAGTAGAGTACCTGCCTAGCAAGCACAAAGCCTTGAGTTCAAACTCCAGTTCCACAAAAATGGGGGAACTAGAGGTCTGGCTCAAGTGATAGAGTGCCTACCTATCAAGAACAAGACCCTAAGTTTAAATCTCAGTATTGCCAAATAAAAATTTAAATACAGCTTGGCCTATGTAAGATTTGTGCGCTATAGGTGTTTCTTACACCAATAAAAGTATTTTGAAAAGCAGTCAATGTAATTCACCATATTGGCAAACTAGACAATAGTTATCTTAATTCTTTCAGAGAACTGTTTGAAAAACTTCACCATCTATGTCATGGTAAAATTGAAAATGTAAACATAGAAAAGAAAATTCTTGGGCTGGAAATGTAGCTAAAGTGGTAGAACACCAGCCTAACAAGTGCAAGGCCCTGAGTTCAACCCCCAGTTCTGCCACAAAGTAAAGAAAAGAAACCCTGCTGGTGACCTGCAGAAATCCTATAATAGGTGAAATTAATTGATGAAGGCCTGCCTGTTGAGATCAGACTTAGTAAAACAGTCCACTTTGACTTAATATTATATCAAGGTCCTAAAGGTGTAACAAGACAAGAAAAGAAAATGTATTGCAATAGAAAAAGAAGATAGAAATTGTCATCATTTACAGACAACATGCTACTGTAAGTAGAAAATTTTAAAAAGAATCTACAGATTATTTAATTAGAAGTAACAGTCTTAGCAACATTGCTGGGAATATGTCGAACAAAAATAACTGCATTTCAACATACCAACAAAAACAACAAAACAACTCCCTGCCCTGAAAGGATAAGGGGAGTCAGGAATTATGGAAACAGAATCTAGTACCTAGGAACATTGGAACTAAAGAAGGATCTGGGAGAGGGGAAAGCCCTGAGGATAGGACTTGGGGAGACAATGGAGAAGCAGGTGGTAACAGGACTTGCTTTGGGGTACTGGGATTTTCTAATACCAGGTTGGCTCAAGAATAAGTTAATGTCAGCTTCAACTTTGAAATTCATTTGTGTTAAAGTATAAATGATTGATAAAGGACAGGAAATTTAAAACAAATAGTTCAAACTGTGTGGAAAAGTAAGCTCTAGATTCTAAGCATAAAAGTCAATAAGCACTCAATTACCAAATCAGACATTTGGATTTCCTTCACAACAAATGTAGCAGATAGTAGTTGGTATTATAGCAACTAGATTATAAGAATGAGAATTATTTTTTATGAATTTTTATTAAGATATATTCATTATACACAAATGGAACTTATAATAACACTTTGAAACATACTTCCTAATACTATCCAACCTCATTTGTACTATTTTGATTAAAAAATTAAATATTCCTATATAATCGCATATACTCAATCTTTATTGCTTGTATTCATTCAACAGATACTTAGGCATCTACTCTTGTGTCAGACCTTGGGTATAAACAAGAAAAGCAAAACTTCTATTCTAATGAAGATAGAAGGAGAGATAAAAGTGTTTTTAATGACTTAACAGGAAAACATTTGGATATATGGAACTGGGAGAATGAAGTGAGGAGTGGATAATTGGCACTGTTTCAGAAAGCAAATACATTCCTGAGAAGGTGACATTTAGGTTGAGACCAGAAGGTAAAAGTGGAGCTAGCCATTTTTAAAGTCAGAAAATAAGTGCTCCAAGCAGAAGAAATACGAAGAATAAAATCCTGGGGTGAGAGAGAGCATGACTGATTTGAGAAGATAGTGTGGCTAGAACTCATTGATTAAAAAGGCAAGTAATTAAGGATGAACTTTGAAAGGTAAGAAGCACCAACTCAGTGCCTTTTGGGGCCTTGTTTAATTTTTAGTATTTTATGTAAATGTAGATAAAAAGCATTTTTAAAAAGATGAGAAGAATTGAAAGAGGGAAGAGGTTTTTGAGACAGTGAAAGGTATAGAAGAACACTATCCCATAGGACTAATACAAGCCATGTGTGTAACTTAAAATTTTTCTCGTAGCCACACTAAGTAAATACAACAGATTAATGTAATTTTAATAATATAGTTTAACCTAATAAGTCAAAAAATTAAGCCCAAGCATGTCACCTAAACAATCAACATGAAATATTTTAATTTTAATGAGATAGCTTTATCATATCAAGTCTTCTAAACTTGGTGTGCATTTTACACTTAAAACTCAAGTCAATTCACACTAAATGCATTTCAAATCCTCAATAGCGCTCTTGGATAGTGTGGGCCTGGTAGTTGAGGACATGGAAAATGTATCCTCCAGTCTCCCAAATAGTAGTTCTTGTGTGCAGAGTGAGCAAGATTTTCCTTCCCAGAGGAAAGCTGGGTGGCCTCCAAGAAGGTCAAGCTTCCTATAAAAACGTCGAGCACACAGAGGGTCTGTGCACAAGAGAAGACAGATCCCAAGAGACACAGTCAGAAATCTTCCTTCTCCTCATCCCAGCCAAGGACTTCAGTTTTTCCTCTCTTCTGGATTGTTTCCACCAGCATAGAAACACGTCATGATTTTTCCTGTAGAAAACAAAAACAAACCAAAAACCTCTTGGCTCTACTTCTCCTTCTGTGTATGACTATACTTCTTTCTTTTCCTTAAAAACAAAACTCAATAGGTCTGTATGTATTATGTCCATATTATCTCCTTCTGTTTTCCCTTGAATCCGCTCGTTAAGGTGTGGCTTCAATTTCTCCTCAGAAACGACCATGCAATGACAATAGTAACCTCTATTTTGCAAAAATCCAATGACCAATGCACAGTACTCATCCTAATTGACCATCTTGAAGATTTTACCATCATTTTACATTATTTTTCTGGGCAGAGTTTCCAAGCCACGCTGCCCCTGGTCTTCACGCGCTCTCCTCGCGCAGCGCCCTGCAGCAGCGCTCTTGGCCATAACTGTGGCGTTGGGACAGCGCGAGAGGCAATGAGCGCCACACGAAGGCCGGGCACCCCCTGGGCAGATGCTGCCTCCAGAAACCCCAGACCTGGAAGATCTGTAACCAAAGGCAACACCAACAAGATCACACCCTCCTGACCGTGATCAAGTCAGTCTGCGGATCCACGGCCAGTAGAACTGAGGGCAGGTATTGTCCACACTAGTTCCTCTTAAGTTTCAATTTTGTACCAGTTTTTCTCTCTCTCTCTCTCTTTTTTTTTTTTTTTTTTTGCTCCACAGTACAACCCGACAGAGGTTTTTTTTGTTTTGTTTTTTTCCTTGCTGCTGAAAAAAAAGAGCCTTTGAAAAAGTAAATTATATGGACAAGGTCACATAGTAATTGGTAAGATCTGAACTTACTCAATTCTTCACACTATGTTTGTCTATATTTTATTTTCAAGTGTCAATGAGTCAATCTCCATGGCAACTTTAACCTTACCAGTTCACAATTGATACAAGTAAAAGGGAAAGTTTGTAAATGACAAGTTTGAAGACATTATCTTGGGCTTTAGATATGACTATAAGCAGGGGTTGAAAGAAAAAAGAAAGATGATCCATCAGACATTGAAGACTGGGGAAACTAGATTGTCAAAGCCATGTGAGAATAAGTAGAAGAGAAGGCCACTTAAAAAACAACAATGAACTTTTAGGCTTCAAGAAACAGAAATTATTTATTACTACTTGTCGCAAAATTATTATAATATATAAACAGGTATATTTGCATAATGTAAGGGCAAGAAGTCGCCAGGTTTGCAAAAAACAATGAAACTAGAAAGTTGAAAGCCATCAGAAAGGTGGGGAGTTCTGCTCCTTCTTCATCTCTGCTTTTATCTGAGTGCCTTCTCTATTCTTCTCCCAAAACTTTCTTTCTCTACAACTCTGTACATTAGGAAAGAATATGGCGATACCACTTGCCTAGTTTTTATATCTTCTCAACAACAAAGCAGCACAAACAATTTGGGGAAGAGTATGTCCTGGGCCCAGCTTAAGGTAGATGTATGCCTTTGTTCTAATCAGCTAGGGTTGAGGAATAATTTTCATGGGTGGTACACACAGAAGCTAAAAGGATTAATATGAGTTGTGTAGAATAACCAAGGTTATCCACAACTTAGTGATCATAATCTGTAAATTGAAATTTTCTTATTAAACACCCTCTCTGTGTTTTTCTTGGTCCCTAACTTGTGAGGACAAACTTTGCAAAGTATAATATATAGCACTTTATTTTTCAGGTTCCTTTGTAGCTGGTATAGGCATATAACATGGATTATTTCAATTAGAGTTAGATTTTAATTTGGAAGGGAACAATGAGTAATAAAATAAACCACAGAAACCAAAAATCCAAGTTTTCTGATTCTGTAATGTGTTGGTGTCAGTTACGTCTAGAGGGATTGATATGATTGGGACAGCCACCATTTAGTGTTTACTTACTTGCATTTAAGGTTAGTAAATGAACAGAACTTTGAGAGACAAATATTGGGTTTTGTTGAGATAATAATATTGGTGGTTTGATGCAAAAATATCTCTTGGGGGACTACAATGTAGTGAAAAATGAGTAGCTGTAGAATTAGATTCCATCTCAAGATTAGATATCTTGCCCAAGAAAATAATTAATGTTAATTTGTCTCCATATTTCCCTACAGAAAAGAAAAACATTTATCCTGTCATTTCTTTGTTGTATCTTAGTGAAAAAATGTCAGAAAATCAACCATGGATAAGAGAGGAAATGAGAATGTTGGGGGTAAGAACTAAATGCTGTTAGACTATAGTGTTGGGATTTCTAAATGTACAAGGGAGGAAAAATTAACCACCTCTACTACGAACTCCCAAATGTAGGAAAGTTAAAATGTCCTACAGTGGTTATGTAGCATCTGTGTTTTCCACAAGTAACCAAACACATAAGCTGAATAAGAAAAGTAAATAAAGCAGAAATTATGAATGAATCTATCAGCTCTACATTTAAGTCAACCTACTCATAATTTCAGAAAGTGTCTCTGAGTCTGGAAGTACGTAAATTTCTTTTTGCCATCTACAAATTATGACATGGTAAGTGAGATTGTCAAATTGTGGAATCTGACAAATTCCAAAGGAGCTGCAGACCGTAGAGTTCTGCGGACAACGGCCACAGTAGCAGTGTGCTTCCGACCATCATCCTTGACTTGCCAGTGCTTTCCCGGCAACCCACCAACTAGAGCAGGTATCCTCTCTTACAGCTAGATGATTTTTCATTATCCACCTATACTGTTGCATGATCCACTCATATGTTGAACGATAGAGCCAGATTAGGAGTCAAACAAGCAGGACAATAATGATTAGTTTAGGAAAATTGTCCTCCCCCAAAAAAGGGGGGAAAGGGGATACTTAGGACTAGTGAGCTGAGCAAGATCACAGAATACAAGATGAATTGTACTTTTGTACAACGGTAATGAGCATATAGAAACAAAACATTCAAATGCAATACTATTTACAACACTCACAATATGAAATTATGAAATATTTAGGCATAAATCTAACAAAGTATGTATAGGACTTGTATTTTGAAAACTACTAAATATTGATGAAAGAATTCAAATTAGATTACACAAATGAAAAGACATGATTGTCGATTGCAAAATTCAATAAATACGTTAATTCTCCCTCTCTCCAAAATTAACATGTTTATTTGGTGCAATTCCAATCAAAATCCCAGCAACTTCTTTCATAGGTATAGATATGATTTTCTAAAATTCATATGGAAAAGAAATGAACTAAAACAGCTCATTTAAAAAAAAACCAGAGTAATGTGGGAGGAATTGCACTACTTGATTTTAAAACACTATATAGTTACAGTAATCCAGACTTTCTGGTATTGTTTTAGCAAGAGAAATACAGGTCAATGGAACAGAACACACAATACAGAAATAGGCTACACAAGTAAAGCCAACTAATTTTTTATAAAATTAATTCAAAAGAAGAAGTATAGTTTCCTCAACAACTGTTGTTAGCCATTGGGTTAAAAAAAGAACTTTAACTTAAGTCTCCCATCTTGTAATAGCTCCCAACCTGGGAACTATCAAAACACCACTCACTAGGTGAAGAGTTGAACAAACAATAGTCATTTATACCATGGAATACTACTACAAAAAAGAAATAAATTATATAGATACAAACAACAACTTGACAGATCTCAAGAGTATTATTCTGAATGACAAAAGTCAATTTCAAAAGGTACATACTGGATTATTTCACTTATCTAACATTCTCAAAATTATAGAAGTATAAAAAATAGATTAGTGACTAACAAGAGTTCAGGATATTAGGGGAGGAATGACGAGAAAGCTGTAGCATGAAAGATATCTTTGTGGTGAGTCTTAGAGTAGTTGTTTATCTTGGTTATGGTGGCATATACGAATATACGTGTGATAAAATAGCACACAACTATATATTCAACATTACATCAAAATCAACTTAGCTCAGATGTGGGACAGTAGTTATATAAGATACAATCATGACATTAGGTCATCACCTTTCTCCTTCACTTTGCCATTTTCTTGGTGTGTATTCCTTTCAAAAGTTGGACTATAACCTTAAACGACTAAGGATAATGTTTTTTTTTTCCTTCCAGGCCATACAGATAATGACTGGTCTGATAGTTCATGCCCTGGGAATAATATGGATACGTTTGCTCATCTCACAAATCACTTTATTTGGAAAAACCTATATTCCTCTTGTAGCAATAACAGGATTCCCATTCTGGTCATCTTTGTTTGTGAGTAAATAATCTAATTCCTAACAGTTATTCTGTTGGGGGAATATTTTGACAGATGAGAAGCCAAGCAACGCTCAGAGGAGTGGAGAACTCAGATTTTATTTTAAGCCAGCGGGCTCAGAAGTGTCTGAGCACTGAACAAAGGATTCACAGGATATTTAAAAGGCAGTGCACATTTGGATAGAATGTAAAGAAGCAGATAAGACCTACTGTACACATAATCCAGAAGTTAGTAATTGTACCATGGTGAACAGCACTGACTTTTGTTCTGTGCCTACTCCCACTCCTGTGCCAACCAATTCTACAGCTAAAACCACAACTCTGCCTTCACCTTCTACAGCTTCCACAACAGTCGTCACATCAGGTACGACAAATACCACTTTGACTCCGACCTCACAACCTGCACGGAAGTCTACCTTTGATGCAGCCAGTTTCATTGGAGGAATTGTCCTTGTCTTGGGTGTGCAGGCTGTAATTTTCTTTCTCTATAAATTCTGCAAATCTAAAGAACGAAATTACCACACTCTGTAAAGAGAGCCATTAAGTTAATGAGGACTGGCGATTCATTTGTGTAACTCATCGAAACCAAAATAATACCTTTCAAGAAGTCCCACGTGGAAGACGCTATTTCAGGATCTTTAAATTTACAAAGGATGCATATAGGATATTTTGGAGCATTGGCCTTGAAGAAAAATTAGTTAAAAACCATTTTGCTCAACAGGAATATTTAAAATATTCTGCATGAATCCTTGTGGCTGTCTTCTTTTATTTTCAATGGCTGCTGCTGTGGGATTGTTTCTTTTCTTGACATGCCAAATGTAACTTTAAGTGATGGAAAATGATGTTCTGTGCAGACAACCTCCTGACTGTTGGCAGTTTAAATTTAGTCATCTTAAAGCCTGAAAACTGCATTACTTTTATCCTAACTCACGATGTAATTTAGTGACCAGAATTGAGAAGTGTGCCGCATGAGCATCAGTCTAGGTGGATTTTTGGCTATCATTTCAAAAGTGTAATAAATTTATTAATTTAGTACTAAACTGTATCCTAAAGTAAAATTTTGTGCCTGATAAGTTATTTTTTTCTACATTAGAAATAAGATGCCACACAGGGAATTACATTCCAGATTTAACAAAATGAGTGGAAAGGATACAAACCAATAATATGTAACAGGTTATTGTTCATGCACTTGTTATCATTGAGAAAATATAGAACAGTGCCTTAAAAGACAGACTGAAAGGAAGTCCGCAACGTAAGGTAGATGTGCTTTGTTCTCTCACATAAGAAAGGTGAAGGTTGGTGTGAGGATGTAACTGTTGATGTTTTAGATACCATACTATTAATATTTAATTAAAAATGCAACTCCTTTTTCTCAGCTGAGAAACTTAAGCTAAAGAATATTATATAAAGCTGAAAGCCCTCGTGAGCCTCCCAACATTTTTCTTAGGGCAGTTAAAAATAATAGAGATAAAATTGATTTAGTTTTCTTTTTATTCATAAAAATATCCTAGTACTGTTATACCTTGAAAAGATTTCTACCAAGCTTTCCTAAAAAGTAGCGTCTTTCCTGAGACAAGAAGGAAATTCATTTACTAGCCTTTTTTTTTTGGTGGTATGAGTTTGAACTCAGGGCCTTACTCTAGTGAGGTGAGCGCAATACCACTTGAACCAGGCCTCCACCCTTCTTTAAGTGAGACAATCATTTTTAAGTTTTCAGGCAGCAAATATGACCCAGGAAATTTCAGAAGACCCACAAATCTAAGGATTTTGATCAGATTAGGGTTTTCATGATTGCCCTGGATGAACACTGCTTTCTCTTTTTTGATATTTCCATAGTCTAATCATGAATACATTTGTTTCTAGAGCTTCTCAAAGTATGATTTTTTAAATTTCTTTTTTTTTTTATTAAGTTTTAGAGGGTTACTTCTCCCTTGCCTTTGACATATTGGATTCAGAGACTTTACTTGGAAATGGGCTTTTGCTTTTCAAGGTCATTTTCTGTTTTTTTTGTTTTAGTTTCTTTAGCCTTGAGTAGCTGAGTTTAGCACATGGTTTTTAATATTTTATAGTAGGAAATTACAGAGTGCTTTGGTTCATTTCATAAACTGAAATTCCTTGTACTTAGCTGATTATTAAGGTTCTTAAAGTGAAGAGTTAGTGTTTCTTTGTCACTTTCTGGTACAGTTAATGTTTGTTTTACTTGCACATTTGTACATACACCTAATGTTTTCAAGTGCCTTAATTGTTTAAAATCTCTGGCTTCAAAGGTTTTTGGGGAAAGATAGGTTTACCTCACAATTTTGTGTTTCCATTAGTAATATTCTAGGTACCTCACAAAATTTATTATGGTGCCAGGGCTGTTAGTTTTTAGTGAGTGCTATAAGATTTCATTTGAAAATATACATTTGAATATATCCATTCCTCACAAGGTGACAGATAGCTACGGTGGTGTAATTGTCATTTACTTGGATGTGAATTCCTTGCCATGCATTTGTCAACACGTAGCAGATTTTGTGAAAATGTAACCGTAATTCTGTAATTTTGAGCACTGCTCTAACATAATAGGAAGTTAGATTCCGCAAGTCTACAGATGAGCCTTTGCAACAGAACTCACAGCCTCTTTTGACACTTCTCCCCACCTTTAATTTAGTAGTGTAGTATCTTAAGCCATTAATAATTTTTGGGTTTTTTAATCCAGAAGATATATTAGAAACTTTCAGATTTTTCATCTGATTTGTTCATGCAGATGTAGTTCTATCACATACCTTGTTTTCCCTTACAGATAATTTGTTGCACAGGCAGATACTGCTGTACTTAGAGATTTCTATTTTAGTTCATAAAAACTGCAAAACCAATCTGTATCATGTACCAAAACTGATTTAAAAATAAATCTACATGTTTATTGAAAAAAAAAAAAAAAAGGCAGTGCAGGGCATCAAGTTACAAGGAATGTGCTCACCCATCAATTATGGGCTAGTAGTGAGTTAGAGATCTAAGGTTGTTTACATTAGAACAGCAGGGGAGTTCTGCTGTGGAAAGTTTATTTACAAGTGGAGACAAAGGAAGGCAGGAATGAGTGTTTATTTCTATATAGTGCCCTTTACCTGGACCCTGAACTTTTTGCATGGCTTTAATGGGCAATTCCTCATGCTTTTAATTGACAGCTTATCATGTTTTACAACCCTGTATCAAAGCTATCTTCCCCTTCAATTCATTAATTTACTCATTACATTTAATGATTGTTTCTGATACCGTGATAGAACACAAAGATAGAACACAGAAAGTGCACAATCACTATTCTTAGGGAATTCATTATATCTAGTTGAAAAGGACTGTATCAAATATGAAAAGATATTAGACTCTTATCTGAAATATTCTTCTTCAGTTAAAGAGTCACATTTTACATTAGGAGCAATGGTAAGGTACACAAGGAGCATTTTAGAAAGACATTGAATTGCTGGAGACTATTATCTTGCCAGTGGGGCAAGTAAGAAAAGAAAATGTGACAGCTGGGGACAGTCAAGCTAGTGGTTTAGAAGTGTTCACCATTTTGATTCCATGAATGAGAAGAGTCTGGTACACAGGAGAAACTAAATTCTGGATAAAAAAAAAAAGAGAGGAAGATCATTGGGGAGCCATGAAAGTGTTATCAGGAAGGCAGAAAACCACAGAGAAGCCGAGCCAATAGAAAAACTGCAGGGAAGAGTTCCAAGTCTGTTGTGAGATTCCCAGAAAGGGGAGGAAAAGCTGAAAGCTCTATTATAAGATAAAATAAGTGGCCATGAGGACAGCCAGCCAATTCTAGCTGCAAGATAAGGTCACACATTCCATAAACCTAATCCCAATGCAAGGATTCGGGAGACAGTGACTGCTCTCATGTGGAAGGCTAGCCTTGGTGAAGAAGAAACATTCAGTTCCTCCCCCTTATCTTGGAGGGCAACAGCAAAGTGACATCTTGAGGGAGGACCTTTCACTTGAGACTGATACTGTGGAGGCCTGAAAACAAGGAACATTTGTGACTCAGGGAGTGTTGGGACACCCTGGCAAAGAGTCTGAGTGGGAGATAGCCATGAGAGGTGGTCAAGGAGAAGGAGAATGTCTCATGGGGCCCCACACAGTAGTTTAAAACAGTTTAAACTGTGGGGATTTCTGCCACTTTAGGAAATCTGCATCTGGGAAATCAGTAGCCTGATGCCAGCAGCAGTGCAACAGCAGCTCAGATGCCTGATGGTGGCTCATGGAGGTATTCCACCAGGCAGCAGGACAAGCAGCAGCACTCAAAGGAGCCTGGGGCAATGGTGGTTCAGGAAGCCATCAGCAACAGCTCAGGTGCTGAAGTTTTTGTAGTCAGAGGCCCCACCCTCCCTGGCCAGGAGACTCCCATCCCCTGAAGCAAAGGCAGCAACAAAGCTTCAAGCCTATGGCTCACTATTCAGCCTACATTCTGGTTGTATGTGTTGGTTGCTGGGTGAATCAGAGCTTTGCTCCTCATATCTTCCAGATAATATGATATTCACAGCCTCTTAAATCCCACAGAGAGGTGAACAGTGGGACAGGGACGGACTGAAAATAGGCAAACTGCATAAGAGTAGGTGTGGTGACAGGATTAATGGCAATGATGCATGATGCAGTCTGACCAGATTTCCAGATTCTTTGTGTCCCATGTAAAAGAATCCACAGCACAACATGTAGGTGTAATGAAGTTTATTAAAAGTTAGGGAGAGGAATTACAAAAGGGATGTGGTACGAACAGGTTGAAGCTGGAAGCAGAGAAAGCATCTTTATCTTTTTCAGGAGCTTTAAAAATTTATGCTAATCTATGGGAAGGGAAGAATCTGATGATTCCCAACAAATAATTGATAGTGGGGAGGGGCAGGTTAAGGTGAATAATCTATACACATTTGCAATTGAAAAGATGGCTCAGAGAAAGAGAACAATGTTCAACCTGAAACATATCAACTCATATATGTTCTAAGAGTCCCAAACTTTCCCTAATTCTTACCTGCTGCAACAGGACTGGGAACCCAAAATCAGACCCTCTAAGTCTCTCCATAAAGAGAGGTGAACTGCTGGACATGGTCTGTAAGCACTGAGACCAGCAGACAGAGTAACTAGGTTTCTCAGTCCTCTCCCATCCAGGGCAGAATTCAGTGCTCTATTTGCTTCCCCCATACATACTCTCTATAGCATTCAGGGGTGAGCCTGAAGCTTGAACACTTGATGCCCTTGGGGACACAAACATTGGACAGGGTGCACATGGAGTAAGTGCAGCTTGCTAATAAAATGGAACAAGTTGAAAACAGAGTACTAGGAATCAAAGATCAAAAATCACTCAGACAAGAAGAACAAAGGGAAAACACTAAGAAAATGATTAGGAATATGTCACACTTCTGGGACATAATCACAAGATCAGACCTATGAATCATGAGAATAGAATAAGAATAAATACAATATAAAGGCATAGAAAACATAGTCAACAAAATAATAGGTAAGTCTTACCCAGTCTTGAGAGACAGTCATCCAGGTACAGAAAGTTTTCAAAACACCAAATAGGTAAGATCTGAAAAGAAACACCCTAGACACATAATTAAAACACAAAACATACACATCAATAAAGAATATTGAAAATTGCGAAAGAGAAGAAACAAGTCACATATAAATACAAACTCATCAGAGTAACATATTTCTCAACAGAAACTCTAAAAGCAAGGAGGCATGGAATGATATATTCCAAGCTCTGAAAGAAAATAACAGTCAACTTAGATTAGTGTACCCAGCAAAGCTATCCTTCATAATTAAAGGAAAAATAAAATGTTCCATAATAAAAATCTAAAGGAATTCATGACCACTACACCAGCATTGCAGAAGATACATAAAGCAATACAGCACACAGAAAAGGAAAAGAAAAGCAACCAGGAAAATTCAAAGAAAAAATAAACTCCACTAAATAAGTAGACTAGCAAATGAAGATTAGGAAAGAATCAAACAACACACAGAAACAACAAAATGACAAGAAATACTACATACATCTTTATATTAACACTGAATGTTAATGGTCTCAATTCTCTAATCAAAAAACATGGAATGGCAGGCTGGATTAAAAAGCAAGACCTAACCATTTTTTTGTTGCCTGCAAGAAGCACATCTCACTGCACATTCTTTTCAGCAACCCACAGAACTTTCTCCAAAATAGATCATATTTTAAGATGTAAAGCAATCCTTAGAAAATATATGAAAATTGAAATAACCCCCTGTATTTCGTCAGGCCATAATTGAATAAAACCAGAACTCAACAGCAATAGAAGATATTCAAACACATGGAGACTGAACAATGTACTTTTGAATGACCAAAGGATTAAGGGAGAAATATAGTTCTTAGAATCTAATGAAACAAAAAATGTGACCTACCAGAAACTTTGGGATACAGCAAAATTAGTAGGAGGATGAACAGCTGCATCAAAAAAAGGGGGGAGCTGGTGATGTGGTTCAAGTGGTAGACCACCTACCTAGCAAGTGCAAGCCCTAAGTTCAAACCTCAGTATCAAGGAAAAAACAGAGTTCTCAAATAGTCCAATGAATGAGCCTCAAGCTTCTAGAAAAATAAAAACCTGCCAAACTGAAAATTACCAGGCAGAAAAAACCCATGAAGATTAGGGCAGAAATCAATAAAATGGAGATTAAAAAGACAATGCAAAGAATCAATGAAACAAAAAGTTGTTTCTTTAAAAAGATAAATAAGATTGAAAAGGAGGGAAAAGACCCAAATTGATAAAATTAGAGATGAAAAAGGGGGATATCACAAGCAAATAACAAAGAGATCCAGAGCAATATGAGGGAACACTTTACAAACTTTATGTTCTAATAAACTGAAAAACATAAAATAAATGGATAAATTTATAGATGCATTTGATTTACCAAGCTTGATCAAAAAGGGCATAAGCCATTTAAACAGGTCTATAAGAAGCAATGACATTTAAAGTGGAATAATCTCCCAAAAAGAAAAGCCAGTGACCTGATGGATTCACTGATGAATTCTACCAGACCTTTAAAGAAGAGCTAATACCAATGCTTCTCAAGCTAATCCATGAGATAGAAAGGGAATGCACCTTACCAAACTCATTCTATGAAGCCAGTGTTATACTCATCCCCAAACTGGAAAAGGACACAACAAAAATGAGAATAAAAGACCAATATCTCTGATGAAAGTAGAAGCAAACACTTTCAGAAAATACACTAGAGCATACAGACATAGGGAATGACTTCATAAATAGAACTCCAATGGCTCAGCAACTAAGAGGAAGAATGAAGAAATAAGAAATGGGACTTCATCAAACTAAAAAACTTCTGCACAGCAAAAGAAACCACTACTAAACTTAAGAGACTCCCCACAGAATGGAAGAAAATCTTTGCCAGCTATTCATCTGATAAGGAACTAATATCTAGAATCTACAGGGAACTCAAAAAACTCAACCCCTGAAAAATCAACATCCCAATGGAGAAATGAACACATGAATTGAATAGGGAATTTTCAAAGTAAGAGGTACAAATGGCCAGTAAATATACGAAAAGTGTTCCACTTCCCTGACTATAAAAGAAATGCAAATCAAAAGTACACTAAGATTTCATCTTACCCCAGTTAAAATGGCCATCTTCAAGAGCAAAAACAACAACAAATGCTGACAAGGATCAGTGACGCAGGAACCCTTATTCACTGCTGGTGGGAATGCAAATTAGTACAACCATTATGGAAAGCAGTATGGAGATTCCTTAAAAAGCTAAAAATAGAAGTGCCATATGATCCAGTGATATAGCTATTGGGTATAAAACCAGAGGAATGTAAGTCAGGATACAATAGAGACACTTGCACACCAATGTTTATTGCAGTACTG